CTTTCACCTTAAACTTGTACTCTTTCAATAAATCTTCTAGGCTCTGGTAGCTATTTGCATAGTCATTATGGTCTTCCTACTCCTCCTCATCAAACTCACATTTGTTTCTGGTACCATCTCTTCGTCCCTTCTCCATTGGTTCTTTACGTATTCCTTTGATAGTAACTTTAAGCCTCTCAAAACCATCATGCATCATCCCAGTGATATCTGTCAATCAAACTGACAACTGCTCCAGTATATCACACATGGACTTCTGAATATCATTGAATTCTTTTCGACACATCACCTTATGCTCTTGTGTGGCTTTCAGCACTTTCATAATTTCACCCTTATTGTGCTGTTATTTCTCATCATGCGCCATCGTCTTATCAATTTAAATAAAAAATCAAATCATAATTCAACTTCAAATTTGTACAAATGACCAACAACACAGACGTGGTTGACTGAAAATATTATGTGGTCGACCTTAAAAACATAACTCGTAACTACTAGAACCATTCCGGTCGACCGATCAAGTAGAATAATACCAATTTACTAACAAAACATGTGTAATACTACCACAAACAATTGATAGGTCGACCAATCACATTGACCGGCCGACTATCTAAGAGTAACAGAGTCTTACAAACAAAGCCAAAGTTGACATTCTGGACAAACAAACAAAACTAACACATACGGTCGACCATGATAAGAATTAGGTCGATCTATTGGATTTGCTCTTCCTTAGCTCGAAGGAACAAAAGTCTTGAGTGTTGTGACCTAAGTTCAAGTGCTCGCAATTGTTCAACAAAGGTCGACCTGATTGTGAGAGTGACCGACCGAATGTTCTTACGCAAGCAAACAAAAACATCAAATTAAATGGATCAAACTACGAAATAGCAAAGATGACGGCGTTAGCTAAAATCAGTCGAGCTTACCATGCAAGTGATCGACCGCGCGGAACACGTACAGGATCTACGAGTGGCTATACGGTCCGGTCCGGTTAAATTGACCCAAATTAATCCGGTCCAGTCCGGTCTTTTTGAAAATAGAAGGACCAAAGATTGGATTGGATACAGTTCGATCTTGATCCGGTCCTGTCCCAATTTGGTCTTGATTTTATATTGAGCTTGTGGGGATTTGAGTGGCCTAAGGCCTGAAAGGGTGAGGAGTTTGTTAAGTTTTGTACTAAGTGCAAAGGTTTGTGACCGTTTATGCAAATTACCCTTAAGTTTTGGGTGTTGAGCTCTCTTATCCGGTCTTTATCCAGTTTTCGATCCGGTCCTGAACGATTTTTTTACCTCAAATCTAAGCCCAAAGATTGGATTGGATTGTTTACTATCCTGTCCCGGTCCGGTCTCGGTCCGGGTGATAATGTCCAGTTTCGGGTAAAACCAAAAAACCCGGACCAAATAGCCAGCCCTAACAGGAACAACCACCAACGATCTTTCTTTCTTATTCACCACTAACTTTACGAATCCTTTCACCGTTAGTCACTGGCCGTTAGTTTCCGTCAGACTCCTTTAACATTTTCAGTTTTTTTATGACGTGCCAAACTAAAATGCTGACTGGACCATTAACTTGATCACATGTCAATTTAAAAATTTAAAAATTAATTAGTAACCCATCTCATCTTCTCGCTCTGCACATCGGGAACGGCTTCAGCTGGGCTTCGTCGCTTTGACCAGTCAATGATCTCCCCATCGGTTACCGCCATGCCCCAACGTCCTAGTCTACGAGCAATCTGTTCCAGTCGTCTTCACCGATCCGGTCTCCGTTCCCATTGTCGGTTCAATCACCGTCGATGAACCCCTGCCTTTGCTTTGAGGACGAAGACCAAGAGGCGTTTTTCGCTTTGAGCTCCGTCCCAAACCCTCACTAGGCCATGAGTAGAGGACCCTCGATCTGAAGCTGAAGCCGCTCACTTCCCTCCCCAAAACTGTCACCACTGGATCTCCCGCCGCGGCTCGGAGCTCCAGCCCCAGACTTGGCGGCGAATCTGGTTCTGAATTTTTTTTTGCACAGAGACGCAGCTGCGTCAATGACACCGTTTCGCGTGCCTCGATCTCCATGACAACCTCCTTGATGGCACCGTTTTGCCGATCCCCAACTCCTCCAACCTCAATCTCCTTTACCTTGCCGGGAACGACTTCCCCGACGAGATCCCTCCTTCAATCTCCTCCCTCCACCGACTCCTCCGTTTAGACTTATCGGACAGCAACCTCGGCGGTTTAATCCCTTCGGAAATTGTAAATCTGACCAAGCTGTTGACTCTTCAGCTCTAGAACAACGCGATCACCGGTCGAATTCTGGATATCTCCGGTTCCATCCCTGGATTCAAAGAGCTTAATATGTCCAACCACGAGCTGTACGGAAGAGTCCCCGATGGGTGTGCGAAGAAATTCGGCCGATGAGGCTTCTTCGGGAACAAAGGGCTATGCGGATCCAATCCTTCACTGAGTTCGCTCCTCGTGTGTTCATTTACAGGTGTTAATGGAGTTCTTATTTTTTTTTGTTTTTTTCGTTTTTGTGAGATGGAGTTCTGAAATTTAATTATTTATATTTAATTCCTTTCACAGGGGAGCGAGATGATGTGGATGGGTGGAAATTTAATTTAATTTAGTTTTTATTTTCAAATTGACATGTCATTAAGTTAACGGTCCAGTCAGCAGTTCTGTTTGCCACGTCATCAAAAAACTGACGGTGTTAACGGAAGATAATGGAGACTAACGGCTGGTGACTAACGGTGAAACGATTCATAAAGTTAGTGGCGAATCAGAAAGAAAAATAATTTGGGTGGAAAACATGAAAGATTTATGTAATTTGAGTGACCAAGTGTGTAATTTAGCCGATATTTTTTCTTAGAGTATTAATTCATTTTGTTTGTGTGAAAATAGATGAGAATTTATCGATTACGTTATGTTGGATCATTTAACCCAATTATTTTATTTAATTTCCATTTATGGTTGGATCCAACCAGGTTTCAATGCATTTATTTATGTGATATAGATTGAACGCCGCAGGGACAGTATTTGCCGCAAGGAAGAAGTGCTAAATATTAGTTGCATTCCATATCTTGGGAAAGGAAAATGGCTATTCTTGTATACACAATTGACATAAGCACAGTAGTACACCATACTGACTCAGTACCATTGAGAAGCAAAGTAAAGAGAATGCATTTCAAAGAAGACGTGAACACATAGTTCATAATCTTGCATGGTGCATATAGATAAGCATACAACAGTTACCTAACTACGGCAAAATATTTTTCAGCACCCTTACAACATATACAACAGGAAGAAAATATCCTACAAATAAGTGGTTGGACATCACAGAAGGCATGTAGAGTGACCTTCTAGGCTTCTACCTCTGCAAATTTGAGGCTTCAAACCAAATATATCCCCCCTCATTCAGCATTTCTGTCTGCAGTTTTCAGGTAGGTGCTTTGTGCATCTGTGTTGTCCTGCAGAAACAAAATTTGAGGCCGCTACTAATGAGATAGAACTATGAGAAGCTCCGAGTTGGGGACGAAGTGCAACCAACATAACTGCAGCAACAGATAGCAGTCAACACCAACAAAATTACAATAGAACAACAACATAAATACAGCAGCAGGGAAAGAAAGTGCAGAAGCCGACACATAATTACGGTGGCAGGAAAAAGAAAGTGCAGCATCAAAAGTAAAATTACAGCAGGAGCTGGAAGAAAGTGCAGTAGCACTGAAAGAAGAAGCTTATTAGTGAGATTCACAGATGAATGGTGGTCCCCTAGCTTGCAGAAATGGATTCTGAGCAAAGTCATCTACTACTAACAGGCAACAAATCTATCTAAAGAATACAAAATCCAAAACCCTCAATGGTTATTCATATATGCCCTTCAGGTAAAGGAATCTTAAAGCATATTTGTGAGTTATCTGTTGTTTCCAGAAGGTGGTTTACCTGCATAACATTCATGGTTTCCCATTTTACATGTTAGGTTGTGTGGAAGTGTACAAAGTTCCACTGATTATGATTCATAGGCAACTGAAGATCTAAGACAAAGGGAAAGAAAGGGTCCTGTCAACGAAATACACACGAAGATCTAAGACAACCAAACTTTATTTAAGCGAGATAAAATAGTATATAAAATTAAAAAGTTCCGCGTTTCAATTTACAATTTGTTTTGCCCCTGTGATTTGTTTTGGCCAATGCAAATGTGCAAGTAAAGGAGTTCAATCCATAACCTGTTCAAGAAGTCCTACTTATCTTGGAGGCGGTTCAAGAGGTACAAAGAAGACCCATACTATTCTGCTTGCAGCAGTTTCAATGAGCCAAATGATCTCCGAATCTCGATACATGTAACGACTATGCTTTGGACCTTAATGTTCATCTTCAAAAGCACATATTTCTGCAGTTTCAAAAAGGTGACCAGTTTCCTTGATTAAAATCTTACGCTCTTGCTCAAATCAGGAAAAGTCGTTTGAGTCCCTAGGATCGTATTAAAATTACATAAGCAAGAATACTGAGCTCTTGTGATGACACCAACAAAACCCCCATCACACACCAAACCAACGTGACCAATACACGAAGGAAGTTACTTGGAACTTTTTGTATATTCAGAAATGGGACGGAGCAAATCACACAATAGAAATATGTAACAACGAAAAGAATGTGCAAACCCAATCTAAGACCCATAATGTTTCAGTTGATTAAAGAACTTGTCTACCCTTGATGGGTCATCACATTTAACCCAAAGAGTGTACACCGTGGACCATAGCATGATAGGAGAAAGCCTCATAGTAACCCGCGTAAATGGATCAGATGAAACTCGTGAAAACAGCAAAAAAAGTTATACCTGAACAAAAACAATACAGAACATAGTCCATTAAAGTCGCGACTGATTTCGCGTGAGACCACAGATTCAGAACTCCAAAACTATGCTTCTTTCCTTCTTCTTCTTCTTCTACTCTTCATTTAATCCATTCTTGTTATTCAGAGGGTGAGATTAAAGATCCATTCAGTATGAGGAAGAATATCACCTAAACTCCATTAGTATGGAAACCTGCAAAATTTTGAAAAAAAGATATCAGATTCAACAAAAATAGAAGAACATCAGTACCTATTCATAGTGATAGAAGTGGTGTTTAGTATCAAAGCTTGTGCTTAACATGGATGCTATGCAACATGGATGAAGAACACTCAATAAATTAGCCAAGTTTGCAGAAGTAGAAACACCATTTCATAGACATAGTTTTCAACCACGGACTACCATTCCTGTAAGCCTATGTGACAGAAAGCTATGAGGAGCTATCTTCGTGAATCTAGCTCTATCAACCGAAACCCCTTGCTCCGTGCAGCCATGTACCTTCCATCAGGCAGGTTTGTAGAGCTGAAAGACAGGGATAGACATGTATCTTCCACCGGCTATTTGGTTCCATGGGCAATAGGCTAAATTCACCTCTGAAGTCAGGGGTTGACTTTCTTAAAATCAATAAGCCTGAACCCAGAAGCAGGACAAAGATAAACATTGTCCATCAACCCAATATCAGGAAACCTACAAACACAGTCAAGGCGAATAAGGTGATAGTCACAAAACTTAGAAATAACATTTAGAGTTGCATGGTACAAAAGAACGAAAAACAAACAACCTAAAGATGCAAAGACAATTTGAACTTGCTGGGTAAGGAATCTCTAAGAGGGAAATAAGCACTGGGAATACTGGTGGATTTGCCATGACCGATAATAGACTGAAAGGCTAGGCTGAGATGGAAAAGAGAAGAAAAACTAACCAGAAATAACCCTCTGTATCACATGAAGCTTCACCTCTGCAACCAGTGGTGTTGGCCTGCAAAAAAAAAAAAAAAAAACAAAGATCGAGTAACAGAAGAAGTCTAATGCCAAAACCAACTAAAAAATCTTTCCAACACGATTAAGAAGTAGTTCCTGGCCATTGAAACCGGGACAATCCACACTAACCTCTGTAAGCGGACATGAAGATTTGGGAATGATCAATGGAGAAGGAAGCAACAGTTGGCAATGCTCTGATTTCCCTCCTCCCAATCGACTGTCGCTCCTCTCTCGAAATCCAGATTTGGAAGGTTTGTGATGAAAATCAGACTCTATGGCAAAAGAGGGATGAGAAGAAAAGGGGAAGTCTGACGAAATCAAAGTCGGGGAAGAAATCGACAGGATTGAATTGGATGAGGTCACTCTTCCATGAATCCAAGGGAGTAAGAAGAGGGACGCACAATTGATGGGCTGTGGCGTGTCGAGCAGAAGCGGAGTGGACAGAAAGGTGACCCATGCTAGCGGATTTCGTGGTAAGGTAGGTGAGTGCAGCAGAGATAGAGAGCAAGTGCAGTACAAATCATAGTCGTTGGCGTGTCTGGAAAAGGTTTCGGTGTGTCTCCGAGCCAAAAAAAGCGACATGGACTTCCGGAAAGGTGAGGAAATCGGTGAAAGGATGACCGATGAAAGGGGCCTGGACCAGCTACAGAGCTCGTACGACCAGTAAGGGGAAGCATGGACGCTTCGCTGGAGCAGTAGAGGCAAAGCCGGGTAGCGTTCCCAGCAGAAAGAGGAGGTCGCTGAGATGAGAACCGGAAACAAAAGGAGGGTAAGTGTAAAAAGTGTACCCACCTTTTATGTTTTAACTAGAAAAAATGCCCGCTGCTACGCCGCGGGGACTTAAGATGCAGAAACGTGATGAATGAATGGCAGTTTAGTTTATGGTCAAACCACACGACTTAAGATGCAGAAACGTGATGAATGAATGACAGTTTAGTTTATGGTCAAACCACACTGTTGTAGTTTGCTCTGCTGTAGCATGTAAGGAGGTGGAGAGTCATGTTTGTGACCCTACAAATGTTGTAATCCCAGCAACTTCCCAACTGTGGGAGTGGGAGCTTCAAATCTTTTAAAGTGACGTCTTACAAAAAGGCAATAGACTTACAACACCCAACAATCAACATTTCATGTTTCCTTCACAATTGGATTGAAAAGCCACTGATACCTTGTGGTAGCTCCAGTCACTATAAACAAAAACGAACCAGAGCACTCAACTTACTAATCACCATTTTTCTGAACAACCAAATTTTCTCTAGAACTAACCAACCATAATAACTCATTGAGCAATTCACTTAAGGAAATATGACTCAACTATTTAATCAATCTATGTATATAATGGTTGCCTCCTGTCACAGTTGGTTGTATCACCACCAAACTCGGTATCTTGTGATACCAACAAATAGATTAAACACTAAAAGCTTTAGGAACTAAACCAAACAACATAATTAGCAAGATATACAATGGATGGTCTACCATTGGGCCATCCAGAAGTTGACCCAATTAAACAACATCTGAAGAAAACTAACATTGGCAGTTTACTTGTACATTTAACCTAATGAAGAAACATAATGACCAAGATTCAAATAAAGCCAAGACATTGAATCCTGACTCCATTCGACAGTAATGATTCATCAGTTGGAATGGAAACTGAAAGACCTAAAATCTCGAAGTGGTTTAACTACCTAATTAACTTTTCTAACCGACTTGTTAAGTGCTTCGATTCTATTCCCTATTTTTCTAAGGCGATTCCCCATCAAACTCCAAGAAGTTGTCTCCCGCTGCAGTAAGATCCTAATAATGAATTCTAATGGCTTCAACTAACCAAATAGAGAGCTCCGCTGAAAACAGTTGGAACTGAAGTAAAACAAAACAAAATCACTTTATAATTACTGCCTACTTCCTTACCTAAACTCTCTCAAAATAAGGCAACATAAACCTATCCTCCTCTGGTATCACTATCGGTGAGCATCTGTTGTAGCCTATAGTATATCAACTTCAGGGTAGAGTCCACCAGAAGCAAGCATCACCTGCATTCAAATTCACCACATTAATTTAATGGGTTGCTGAAATTTCCCTTTCCATACAGATCCGTTAGCTGGACATAGACTAAAAAAAACCCCTGAAAAGGCTACTAAGAGAACTGATGTGCATTTTTGTGTCAGCTGATATCTTTCAATTAACCAAAATTCCAATTTGGTGGTTGGAAAAAGATATCAATGATAGGTACGATCGTACGGACCTGATGTAGGGCAAGCAAACAAAATATTTGACATCTTTTGAAAGGAAATTCTACCCTTTCCACCAAATACAACATTGGCTTTCATTCAAGACAGGCCTTCTATGCGTACATGCATTAGCCATTCAATTATATCATGCAAACACATATTTCCATCTATAATGTTCATGTTAATCACCACCAAATTTCATATTCAAAAGGATTTGAAACTCCATTTCGCCTCCCCTTCGAGTGCAACAGCCTCGGGAAGAAATAAAAAATCTACACATACATGACCAAGACAGACCAAAAACACAAACAAAGAGAGGTAATAGTAAGTAGTAACCTGTTGGAAAAGAAGAATGGCGGGAGAGCTAACACACACAATCCCACTGGAACCGACTGAAAAATGCTCTTCGCTATTCACATCTTGTTGCTGGTATGATCCTGCAACTCTTCCCAGTTAGTACCCAGATTGGATGATATATATATCTGAAGGAAAAAGGCAAATAAATTAAAATAACACTTCATCATAAAAGAACCAGGAAACAAAGAGCATTGAATCTTTCATCATTTTAATCTTCTATATACCGTGAACTTCAAAATGCTTGACTTCTTCCATGAATCCAGTCATCACTTCCCGAGATGAGATGAAGTCCACCTGGTGCAGAAAAGAAACTGAGATTCAGAGTGAAGGAGCAGGAAAAGCGATGGAGAGTAGAGATGAAGGATCTTAGCCTAAGAACGATGAGAACCCGTGGTCATGAAGCTGCATGGATTCAACTTCCTACAACAGCACACCCTAGGAAGACATGGAAAGATTGAAATTAAAGATCCCGATGCAAGCGACATGCGGGGAGGCCGAAAACCGTTGCCCAGAAGGAACTAATAGGAGAAAGAGAACTCACTGATTTCATTCGTCCACATCGTCGATAACTTAGAGAACCCACTGGAGCGCCTAGGGTCTCTAGCCGTCCATGGTAGCTTCGAAAGGATGGTCTCTATCATTGATTTGTTGTCCATCTCTATCTTTCTTCTTTTATCTCTACCTTGGTCCTGAAAAATGACAACCTCTGTAAAGTACAACAATGTAAAGTGGATAGCCGAAGCTGCAAAGCAGAAGTAGAAGTAGTCAAAGACCGATGCCATAATCAAACAACATAGAGAGCAACAAAAAATTGTAGTAGAAGCATTTCTAGCCTATCTGTTTGCATTAAGAAACAGGCCACTAAGAAACCTTGTCTTGTTGCATATTACTTACACCCAATTTTAGAGTGTAATTCCCGAACGATAATGTATCCATGGTGTTCAAGATCGACTTCTTCCATGATTAGACCTGCATATTCCTTTGCCTGCTTCTGGATGTTTGATGGGTGATGATCTGCAATAGAATAGTTGATGCCATTAAATTACAAAACAGGTAAATTTTAACGCCAATCTTGCTGTGAAACTTGGCACATGGTTCAATTGACTATGAATATGAAATTAGTTAAACACAGTCTGAAGGTTAAAAGACATCAATAGAAAATGATGTTCTTTAACTTTAGATTCTTGATGCTTTTAGTACAAACAAATCCCAATTAATTAGTTTATGCATCTGTTGCAATTGCAGGCATTCTTAATTGAATGTCCTATACGTATTTTCTATGACGAATACTTTTCAAGAAAGAAAAGGAAAACACATAGTTTGAAGCTTAAAAGACATCAATCTCAAATGAATAACCAAGTAAGAATCTTGAGCGTCGATCTAACCATAAAAAATCTGACACACACACACAATACCAGCATGTGCATCCCAATACCAAAATCAACGATCATCATCGTTTTGAAGCCAACCAACATTCATTATGTCATTTCCATGAACTAAAGCAAGAACTAAATACACAGACATTCCACAAACATGAGCAGCCTATCGAGAATGACATCATTTTGTGGGAATTAATCATAGCCTTTGCTCGTCTACAGAAATAATGAGTCTAAAGGAAAATAAACAGAGAACTGAACTCAAGCACACAAATTTGCTTCCAGAGATTCAGCAAGCAAAGCAGGATAAAAGTTCACCTGTAAACTCTCAACAATGGAAGAAGAATACGGGACTAAAGAGCTTCCCATCTCTCCATTTCATCCTTTAAACTTCTGAATCGCAGTTGATACTTCTTCAGCGTTTCCTCCATGGCTAGTGGCTACTCTGCTACCTAAACCTGCAAAATCCCCAAATTACATAAACCTTCTTCATTTTAGGCAGCAAGCTTATCGTCCTTCTTCTTTGCAGTCTCTCCTCATTATCTCTCTTTCTCTCCTTTATCTTTTCATCGCCAATTCTGGAGCACTTCCTTCTTCTAGCTAGTTGGACCCTTTCCTTCATCAGTCGATGTTGACGGTGACTTGTTGTTGTAAGTGGGAACAGAATGACCTGTTTTGCCCTTCATTGAGGAACACGGCCTGCATTATTGAAACCCCTGAAATAAAAAAAACAACAACAATGGAAAAAGCAGCAGAACCTGGCATAAGAAACTGAAACCCCCAAATCAAGCATACATACTCCACTTCCTTCCTCTCCTTCTCTGTCGTCTCTCTCCCCCACCCACTGTAGTTTGTAGGTTGGAATGTGAAAGCCTCTTCTTTCCCATTCCATACTATCTCCCCCAAAATCTTCAGGCACATCTGATTGGCCGCTGTGGGGCCTAAAACCTACATCCTCCCTGGACACACACTCTATTGTACGACATCTCGACGAACACCATTTCCTCCAGACCTCCCATCATTCCCCAAGGAAGAAGTTTTGACTCTGCAATTGATGTAGCTACGACTGCGGTGCAGACTCCTGACTCTGCAATTGATGTAGCTACGACTGCGGTGCAGACTCCTGACTCTGCAATTGATGTAGCTACGACTGCGGTGCAGACTCCTGCTGCAGCAAGCCAACGGCCACGTCTCGGGTCACGACTTTGTTCTCCTATCTTGAGACCGACGCCTGTTACGACTCCAACTTTGGCTTCGACTCGCGGTGCAGAGGAATCGGCGAACCAAAACAGTATTCGCGGAATGTGGGAACGGTGGAGAGCGAAGGTGGGAGGAGGCGGAGACAATTTTGGGAGGAGCAAACCGGGGGTGGAGAAAGAGGAAAGCGAGAGGAGATAGAGAGGAACATGAGGGGAGTAAACCTTAGGTCGCTAGTCCACCAATCGAGAGGGGAAAAGACACAAACCTACAATTGGCAGGGGTAGCGTGCGGAGGAGAAACGCGGTGGCGTGCTGACCAGAAAAGCATGGTCCTCTGTGAAGGAGGTGGGGTGAGTTCGGCGCTGAAGAAAGAGAGGACAGCAGGGCGACCCGCATTCGCGGACTTTACGGCAAGGCGGTATGGGTTTCGCGTAGCGGCGTAGGAAAGGAGAGAGGTTGATTGGACCTAGGCTGGGCAGCAGCTACACAGCGGTGATGGAGAGCGAATTGGCGGAGGCGAGACGACGGTGGTGGGCAGACGACGACGGAGGGAGGGGAGTTGGAAGAGAGACCCAAAGACT